GTTCCCGGCCTTCATGGAGGCCTTCTCGTCCCTGGACGCCCTGGGCCCCGGCGGGGTCCGCGCCGCCTTCTCCTCCTCCAGCTTCGGGGGCTCGGGAGCGGGCAGCTCGGGCTTCAAGTCGGTGATGTCGTCCACGGAGATGGTCAACGGGCACACGGTGACCACGAAGCGCATCGTGGAGAACGGGCAGGAGCGCGTGGAGGTGGAGCAGGACGGGCAGCTCCGCTCGGTGACCATCAACGGCAAGGAGCAGCTCAAGCGGGTGGACAAGTGAGCGCCGCCCGCGTCCCCGTCCTGCTGAGCCGGGCTGGGCCTTGAGCTGAGATCCTAGCTGATTAATAAAGTCCTGGCAGTGAGTTCACAGAGGCACCAACCCGGCTCTGTGGGGCACAGGGGCTCGGGGGGTTTGGAGCAGCTTGTCCTAGTGCCGCCTGCTCTATCAAAAGTCCAGGGCACCCTCTGCCCTAAGGAGAAGGGCCCCATCCCACCCCTTATGACTAGGACCCTGCCCACTCCCCCAGACCCTCCCAACCCCTCCCATCTCTTGAGCTCCAACCACCCTCCCCTCCGTTCCTCCACTGCCCTCATCACCTCACAGCCTCAGGACCTTTGTATGTGCGTCTGTCCGATGAGCACCCAATACTTAGTCTTGCACCCCAGGGGGTAAGGGGAGCGTGGTCCAGAGAAGCAGATCCCAGCCCATGGAGGCAGAGCTTTCTCCAAGGCAGAGCAGAGCAAACTCCTGTGTGGGTAGTGACCTCCTTCCTAGTCACGGGAGTGGCTGGCAACAAGGAAAAGAAGGGGACTGTGTTCTGATTATAAGGCTTATTGAGTGCCCGTCTTTTTATTTTGATGTTTTATTTTATTTACTTATGTTTTTGTTTTGTTTTGTTTTTGAGACAGGGTCTTGCTATGTAGCCCACGCTGGACTCAAACTCAGTGATCCTCCTACCTCAGCCTCCCAAGTGCTAGGAGTACAAGTGTGTGTCATCATGGCTGGCTGAGCATGTCTTTAAAATGTGGTTTTCTTGTGTGTGTGTGTGTTTTTTTTTCTTGTACCAGGGATCAAACGTAGGACCTTGTGCTTGCAAGGTAGACGCAGTGCCACTGAGCTACACCCCTGGCCCAAAAATGTGCATTTTAAAGGTTTATTTTAAAACAATCTCAAACTTAGAGTTGTATCAGTTATTTTTATGCATTTATTTTATATTTTCATGATACTGGAGATCAACCCCAGGGCCTCACACAGGCTAAGCCCTTGCCTGAGCACTGAGCTCACCCCCACCCTGCAGGGACTGAACCCAGGTCCTTGGTGCTGAGCCACATTGACAGCCCTTTTTATTTTGAGATGGCTCCTGAAGTCTCCTAGGTCAGATGGCACTCGAAATCCTGCTTCAGCCTCCTGGGTGGCTGAGGTTACAGGTGAGCACCCCTCCCAGCTTGGAAACTGAAGGAACAGTCATCAGGCACCTGTTCTGGGCCAGTCATGGTTGGGATACAGCTGGGGTCAAGCGGTTAGAGTACTCCCCTCATGGAGTTAGGGTCCCGGTAACAATGCTGTCAGAAGCCTGGGCAGCCACAGGGACAGGAGGGACCTCAGAGTGGGTGACGGAGAGCTGGACCTTGGGCCTGGGCCACAGGGTTCTGGGTAGAAGCAGCAAGGCAAAAGTCCCGAGGCCAGAGCAGGGCCCACAGTCACGTTTAGTGCCTTCCTCCCTCCCAGACAGGGGCCACTGCCCCATGGGATGAGGAAGAAACTGAGGCAGGGAAAGGGGCCCATGGCTGGCAAGAGGCAGACCTACAACCCCACCCTAGATGTGGGCTCCAGATGACTTTGCCTTTAAAGCAACAGTTATTACCCTCACTGCAGATAAGTGGATGCATGCTCACGTGTGTGCGCAGGTGTGCGTGAGCGTGTCTGTGAGGAGGACCTGTCTGCTTCTAACTTCCAGTTCATCTGGAGCTGGAGCGGCAGCCAGGAGAGGAGGCGATTCCAGGCCGGCGGTTCAGGACTGGCTGGTGATGGGGCCACTTCTGAGTGCCAGGGCCCTGCTGGGTGCCTGATTTCTAGTGAGCCCGGGATAAACAGCATGGAGTGAAAGATAGAGGGCGCTGTTCCGGGGAACAGCAGGAGCCGAGAGCTGTGCTCAGAGGACACAGATGGGGAGGGGGCCCAGTGGGCTGACCAGGGGCCTGGGAAGGACCTGAGCTGGGGTGCGAAGCTGAGAGGGGGCGGGGAGGGTCCCAGCTCTTCTGGGGCCATGGCGCCCCCGTGGGTGCTGTGGCCTCCTCCAGGCAGCAGCTGCAGGCCGCTAACTGAGTTACTGGAGGCCGGGCCGTCCTGCCCGCAGGAGGTTGGAGCCCATGCCCGTCCTGCCCCGGGACTAACTTCATCAAAGCCCCTCGTGGCTCTGACCACCTGACCTCTGTCCTTGATGACCCTGACCTCTGCCCTCACACCCGCTAATTTCCCGTCATTGGCTGGCGAGGCCGTCGAGTGGCCGCTTGGCTGGGACAGCTGCTGGGAAAATGTGATTACAGGCAGAGGGAAGGTGGTCGTCTGTGGGGGTCCCATGTACCCGGCCCCCCAGGAGCAGTGTGGGGCACGGTGCCCTGTCCAGCACTGTCGTGCCACCGTGCTCCCCGCGTTTCTCCCGTGGCTGCCTGTGTCCCCAGCACCCCAAGGCCTTGTATGGACCCTGAGCTCTACTTTGCTGCTGGACAGGAGGAATCTGGGAACGCCCAGGGGAGAAGGGGCTCCCAGACGTGGTGCCACCTGCTCTCTACCCTCTCAGCATCCACGAGGTGCTGTCCCCTCTGCTCGGGTCACCTGTCATCTCCTGTGGGGCCTCCAGCCCTGACCCTGTGCCTAGACTGGGGCCTGTGATAGAGTCCTTACCGCCATCTGTAATGCATGGCTGCTCAGAGCTAGGACACTGCGCTGATGCCTCATGCTGGGCAGGGACATATACACTGCCCACATAAGCCCCACCTCGCCTGGCTCCCCCAGCCTCCCTGCCCTTCCAGGCACACACCTGGCCCATTCTTACCCCAGGACCTTTGCGCTGGCCATATCTGCTGCCTGCCACCTCTTCCCAGACCCCTGTGGTCCTTCCTCTGCTCCCCAACTCTGCACTGCACCCCCTTTATCACTTTTGATCCCTCTCCTGGAGCCCACAACCTAACTGATGCAGCTACTATCTCCCTGTCCCTCTGTCTCTGATGTCATTGAGCTGTCCACGCAGGCGTTCAGGGCCCTGGCTATCTGAAGGGACCCGAATCCTCCTGAGAAGAGTATGGACGGGATGGGTTTCAATAATGTCCTTCCAAATGGGCATGGTGGCACATGTCTATAATCCCAGCACTCTGGGAGGCTGAGGCAAGAAGATCACAAGTTCAAGTCCAGCCGGGGGTACAGAGTGACTTAGCAAAACTCTGTCTCAAAATTAAACAAACGAAAGGGCTGACTCAACATAAAGGCCCTGGGTTCCACCCCCAGTACACACACAAAAGGCAACGTCCTTCCTGTACTAGGAATTGGTGACATGGGTGACACCCCAGTCACAGGGCAGATCTGGGGGTGACGCCGGTCCCAGGGCTCAGCTGGGAGGCTGCTCTCCCCATTTACAGACGGGGACACCGAGGCTCTGAGGCTGAGAGACTCGGCCAAGGTCACTCAGCAACCAGGGCCACAGCCCCGCCCCCTCCCCTTGCCGGCCGTGGGTGGGGCGCCCCTCCCCCTTCCAGCCCGCGATGTTATCGCCCTGATTTAATTTCAAAGACGGATTGAGCTGCGGGAGGGGGAGGGCTAATCGCAGCCGCCATCTGCCCCGTTGCCATAGGGACGGGCTCGCCACCGTGCAGGGTGGACCCAGATAAGGGAGTGGGCCGGAGGAGCGGGTGGGCAGTCAGACAGGGAGTGGGGAGTCCCAGCACAGGGGAGCCTGGGGCAGAGACAGGTGCAGGTGCTTGAGGGTCCCCAGGGAGGCCGGCCTGGGTGGCAGGACAGAGGCCCAGTCTAGGTGGCTGCCCTGTGCCCAGCAGTGTGGCTGGTGAGGGACCCCCCACCATGTGGCCCTGGGGCAGGGCCTGGCGACATCACCCCCGCCAAGGACCGCAGTCTGGCAGCACAGCCCCGCAGGGCGCCAGTGAGGGCACCCTGGGCCGGTTCCACAGCAGCTGGGACTGTCGCTCAGCCAGCGCCCCGTCCCCTCACCAGCAGACCTCACCTGCACCTGCAGTGGGCGCCCCCGACCCCTTCACAGGATGGGGTGGTCAGAGCAGCCCGAATGGTGGAAGCCAGAACACGCCCTGCCCATACTGCCCCTTCCTGGACACTCCTCGCTGGATGTCACTCTGCATTTTCCCAGCTGGCCAGTCAGGCAGGTCCTGCAGGGAGGGGGACACAGCTGGCAGCTGTCCCGGCACCCAGCACAGAGGCAGAACCTGTCAGGGACCCAAACACCAGGTCCCTGTGTCACCAGGAGGCCAGCACCACACTCCTGACCGGCACCTTGGTCACCAGCTCTGACCCATCCTTCACTGTCAGCTACGGATGTTGCCTGGGACATGGGCACGGGGGTGGCCCCACAAGGGACTCGCCCCATGGAGATCGTGGGCCGAGCGTCCCGCACCCTCAGCACTGCCTCTGGAGGCCCAGGGCTGCTCGGCACTGGGTGGGCCTCATTCTGGAGCCGTTCAAAATCCGAAGCCCCCCATGGGGCTCAGCCTCAGGTCTTCCTGGAGGGGACACAGGGAACAGGTCCCATGGTTGCCGGGCCCGGCCTGGCGCACTCCCTGCCCTTCACCCCCACAGGCTTCAGCCTCACTGAAACCAAGCGTGGAAACAAGGAACAGAGAGCTTCGCACATCAGTTCGGTGGCATTGAGCGCAGTGGCCCTGCCGTGTGACCACGGCCTCTCCAGGCCGCTCCTGTGTCCCCGTTCCACACCGGCCCCGCTTTCCATGAATTTGGCCACTCTGCCTGCCTGCCTGCTGCATTCGCGTCCCAGTGGAGCTGTGGGGCTCTGGTGTGCGGCCTGACTCATTCTCTTAGGGGTGCTGGGGAGGGACCCAGGCCTCCTACACACCTGCTCACCACGGGGCAGCACCCCATTCTTGTCCTGAGGCATCTGCTCCTCACCAGAGCTTGACTTGCCTCTCCCGTCACCCTTCTCATATGAACACCTCCTCCAGGGCACACGGGGTCATGGGGCCACAGTGATGCCGGGCATGCAGAGTCCTCCAGAACCAGTGCGTGTGAAAGGCCTTGAAGACATCCCTAGTCCTTTCTGCCTAGGGGTCGATATGGAGGACTGGGGACAAGGTGGGACTGTTTTGCAGCTCCTGCTCATTGTAACA